TTCTTGCTAATATTTTCTTATTATTACTCATTTTGTAACTTTCAATTTTTGTCTATTTCCAGGCGCGTAAGCTGTGTGAAATAATTCTGAAGTTTTTAAACTGTTCTGAAGCCTTTCAGAATGCTGCTGGAAAGTTTTGGAACGTTCTAAATAGCTTATTGAAGTTCTAAATTGTTCTAATTGGCTCGAGGAGTTCCGGAGCATTTTAGAAGTTTTTCAGTAATTTCCTATAAGTATTTTAGAGCTCTCTGTGTTCGAAAGTGTTCTAAATTGGTTCAATAGAGTTCTAAAAGGTTTCCAACTCTAAATTGAATCCTGATTGTTCTAGTTTCTAAATTGCTCCAAAATGCTCCTGAAAATTCTGAATTGGATTTAAACTGCTTGGATGCTTATTAAAGGTCTAAAGCTCTACAACAATATAAATTCGCTCTCAAAAGCCTTCTGAAAGGCGTTTTATTTTGTAGCTTTCAACCTGACTCCTGAGATTCTGGCGCTTTTCGAAATGTTTCTGTAGATTCTATAGTGTTTTAGTGTTTTGGAGCGTCCTAAATTCAGTTTCAAACTTCTGAATCATTCTAAAATGATTTTGGAAATTGTAAATCGGGTTTTGACGTCCTCAAAGTTTTTATTTTATGGCATTTTCTTCGGTGTCCTGTCAAAATATATTTTTGCAGGTATTTGACAAATATATTTTAGGCGATTTTCAGCCTGGAATGATTATTATTTCGTTATAACCAATGCATTTCCGCCGTCACGGTTTTAACCAAAGTAGGGGAAGTTGTTACGTCACATATCAGCTGATTTGCTTTTGGTATTTACCACTTATAACCGATTATAACCCAGCTTTGGACTTGGGTTAATCTTTTGGTTACAGCTTTTTGATGTTATTGTTATTATTTTTGGAATTTGTATTGGTGTTTTGAGATTTTGCAGTTGCGTTGTAGCTTGGCACAATGAAAGAAGTATACATTCACTCACTCACTGCAATTCACCATGTTTAGATCGAGGTTTAGATCATCCCCAAAGAAAATCTGTTCGATAAACGAGGCTAACGAGAGATTCCGCTCCATTTTTTGTACCTAAACAACAAACCATTGTTGAAACGAAAAAACAAATAGGAATAATAAACATAATCCTACACTGCTATAACCAAATCATTTCAGCGGTCAGTTCCTTGGGTTATGATTCTTGAGTGGTGGGGGGCTGTGACGTCACACTTGGCTGTCAACGTTGTTAACCAAAAGAATAACCACGGTATTTACCGATAAATAATCATTCCAGGCTGAAAATCGCCTTTGAAGAAAATGCCATAAAATAAAAACTTTGAAGACGTCTGACCCCCTTTTTGCAACGAACTAGACGTCTGACGATTTACATACGTTATCTGTGACCTTCAAACAGATAATGTGCAAAATTTCTATAAATTTTGAGCTTTGAGAAAACAGTTTAGATGCTTCTTAAAATTACAACTTTGCCCGCGTCCCAGAGCCAGCTGTCCCGGAACTGTGAGTGCTGACTGTACACTAGCATTCTAGCACTAAAGTACGACCTATTTTGAAAATATCCGCCTTGCGAAAACTCTTGCATGTTTTTGGCGCCACCTTCTGGACTATTACTTAAACCAGCTTTGAAAAATGTTTTGAAACGCGAGAAAACGCCTTTGATCACCTCCACTTCCGAGCCTCGATATTCAAGAGAAATAAGACTGGAGAAAACCGCATCTCGATATGTCGAGTCGTTTTCATGCTACGAGGGGTTTTTGAAAAGTTTGGAGTTTGGCAGGGGGTCTATAACTTTTTTATTAATGAAAATTTGGTCAACTTTACCCCTTGTAGCTTAAAAACAAATCGAGATGCGGGTTCCACCGGTCAACTTCTTTTGAAAACCGCGGCTCGCAAGTGGGTCAGATTTTGTCCAACTCCTCTAAAAATACCCGAAACCCACCAAACCCATCGAAACTTGGACACCCTCTACATATAAACAATTATTCATTTCTAGGTCCTGTAGTCTGTAGTACCACCAGGCACCAAATAGTGTAGCTCATAGTTGTCTTTAAGATGTGAATTTATTACGACATCTTGTGGACCTCTTAAAAACAACGTCTTCTAGGCGTCTTTTTTTGTCTTCAGACGTAATGCAGACCTAAAAAAGACGTCTTTGGCTGAGTTCGGCTTTACACTCTGTAAACTCTGAGCGCGCTCGAAACGATAAGATCGTTTTAGCTCTTAACTCTCAAAGTATTCTCTTTTGCGTTGGGCTTATGACCGCGTATGACATCACGATATCCATGCTCATACCGTTCCGCTCCGTGGAGTGCGAAGCCGAACTCAGCCTTTAAAGGCGGTTACACACGGACGTGGATGTTTGAAAACATGTACCATCGTCACCAAAAGTAACTGGGACAGCATCACATTAGCTCTTGTCCTATTATATGAATTTTATTGTCAAATATTTGTCAAACTATAATTTAAATGCATTGAAATGAATGACAGTAGAATTAGTCCAGGAGATTTTTATGCATTATTTGTGTCCCAGATACTTTTGGTGACGATGGTACGCACATACATGAACGCGCAAACAAAAACATCAATGTGTATGCAAAATATCATCGCGTTTTTGAATGTGTAATCGCTAGAAATTTTGTATGCGCACTCGGAACACTGTAGCCAGAATAGCAAGACAACAGTTTTGTGCGAGCGTCTGTACAAAGGCGTCGTGCACGTTTTTGTTTTCACGTTGATGTATGCACGTATATGTATTAAGCCATCCACGCCCGTGTGTAACCGCCTTTAATGTGCTGTCTGGGATTGGTTGCTTATTCTAGGGTCGGTTACGCAATTACTGTATTCCTTTTATACATCGAGTTACACCGAAAGAGCTCGTCGGAGTCACTACAAAACACACGCAATTCAGATTCTATCATTATTTTTTAATATTAACATTATCGTCCTTATCTAAAAGGGGCTTCTTGCATCCCCCCGCACATTTGGTGTATCAGGGGAAAGGGGGATGCACTATGAGCGACTCAAGCACTTTTAAAAGTTGTATTCCTTTCACACCTAGGAGGAGCTCCGTAACAGCTCCGGGGCTTCACGCGCTTATTCCTATCGAAAAGTGTTTGTTGCACCACGCATCTGTTCCCTGCAAATCGGGGGCGACAGCACCGGAGCGAGTAGCTCGAGTGTTTCAAACTCTTGAAAGGAATACAAAACTATTAGGAACGTTCAAGCTTTTGACATTGAGCAGCTCCGAGTAACTCAACAGGTAAAAGGAATACAGTAAATAGGGAGTCACCTCCAGGTTGGTTAAACTCCATCAGGGTGTCCAGTTGCAATGTTTACCCTGGAGTTATGCTCAACCCGGGGATGACTTGCTAATGAGAAACCGGCCCCTCGTCATAGTTTTTTCTAAAAGTCAAATACTCTCAAAAACTATAAGCTTATAAAAAGGTGAATGAATGAGAGAAAAAGGCATTTTGAACTCGCTCGTAGAAAAATGCCTTATATGGGCACTTTTCAAATTCACCGATAAATTAACCGGTTAAATAAACCGGTAGCTGTCAAAAAGTTCCGGTAAAAGTTAGGTGTAGTGGTTAAAAGATTTTTCTGATGCACCGACTTTTTACCGGTTGAACAACATCGTCCGTTCCAAGATTGACCGGAATTTGGTGATTTTTTGACGTACATCGATTGCTTTGAATGGGCACTATCGGCAGTAGTTCGTTAAATAGGCTCGTACAGCATATTTTTTTATTACATATTCTAAAAGAGCGTATTGAGTTTAGCAGTTGTGCAAAATTTCTCAATTTTCCGAGCCCTTGTTCATATTTAAATAAATTATCAAAAAGCTCCAAATTTGGAAGTTTTTAAACACGTGGTGACGTCACTGCATCTCTCACGTTGGTCGTGTGACGGCCTTTAGCCCGTCTTGACTCGTGAGATGACGTCATACCATCTCTAAGCGATGAATTTCTGAGGCATAATGTTTTATTATTCAAAGCCGCATAACTTTTTTAATATTTATCCAATTGCGCTGAAATTTTTTTTATGTGCTATATGTGAGTAATACTCCACAAAAATATCAAAAAACGTGGTTAATGAAACCTCACTGAACGAGCCTATTGTGGCAACACAACCGTCACACACCAAAGTGTTCCAAAATGAATCAGAAAAATCTTGTAACCGGACTTACACCTAACTTTTACCGGAATTTTTTGGTAGCTACCGGTTTATTTACCCGGTCAATTTATCGGTGAACTTTGGTATCCTATTTGAATTTGAATTCAAGATTAAGGGCGGGTATTATAAAACTACTTTGAGAGTTAACTTAAAGTTAACTTCTGAAATTACATGTAAGTAAAAAAGTTAACTTCAAGTTAACTGTCAAAGCTGTCAAAGCAGTTTTATAATACCCGTTCTTCTGTAGTGGCGCTGTGGCGCCATCTCGGGTCGTTTCCTTGAACTTATAATTATATGCTTTTTATCGTAAATCAAGAATAACAACAGATCCAGAATATTTTCAAGAAATGTGTTGATTGAAACAACCCCAACCGGCCATAACTTTCCTATTACACATACAAATTAGCAAATTTCTTCAAATTTTAGATGAGTGCAAAAACGGCAGGGAAACAATACCGACTTTTAAAGAAATCTGCAAAGTTATAATTGTTGTAAAAATCATCGATAACGTCACAGATCTCTGCAGGAGCGCTCCGAGAGCGATTACAATAATCCAAACGAGGGCACATCATTTGGAATCTAATCAACGTACTTTGTTGTTTTGATCAAACTTTCTGATCCATCGAATTTGACGGAGCAAGAATGAACGCTCCGTGCGAGATTTGACAGCGTTCTATTCCTCAAATCGAACACGTGAATCTCGCATAGCCAGAGCAACGCTCCGGGTGAATCCGTTCCGGATCGCTTTTTGATCATCCGGTGCAGTTTGGAGGCAATGACGTTGGCTGAATGCACTGACTATCAACTGTCAAAATTCAAATTATCGATATTTGATTTTCAGCTCTACTGCGAAAAAAGTGAGGTTAGGTTTTTTTACAAATGCTTTCAAATTTCAAAACAATAAACAAATCGAATTTTTCAAGAACAAAATTTATTATTTTTCAATTAAACTAGCTTCTTAAATAATTGAATCTGTTATTTTCAAGTGCCAAAATGTTTCCTACAAGTAGCCAATGCAAATATTGGATGTTTAGTAGCGAAGAAGAGCTAGATTCTTTGAGGGTAAATGCAAACAATAAACATATAGAAACTCATGGAAAAAACATTAATGTAAGTAACACATACCTACCTTAGTACAAAAATGATGAATTAAGATTCACTGCAATTTTCAGTTTTGTATCCTCAATAGAATTCAAGATATGATTTTAAGAAAAATTTTATACACCTATGTAGAAATTTTGAAATTTATATCCCAAGGTAAAAGCTGGAAGAAGCCATGAGCAAATTAGAGCTTTATGAGAAGATAATACAGTAGAAGCAAACTTTTTGTACTCTTAAATATTGAGCCTTGAAAACTTTAAAATTCTTAGTGATGAGTGTAAAATCTTCAGTCATATAAGCTTCACAAAATCTTCAAGTCTTTGAAGGCTTCAAGATATTAAATTTCAAACCTTAAAGTCTTCAAAGTATTTAGTCCTGATAGGATTCCATGCTTCTTCAATAATTGCAGTTGAAAAAGAATCTCTGGCTTAAATTTAACTCAATGGTCAAAAAACAAAGTTTTATCTTAGCAATTTTGGCTCTAGTAGAGCAAAGAAGATTTTGATGCACCTCTAAGTTGAAGCTTGTGATCTAGAAAAGCCAATTATCTCGCCAGTTATTGGATTTGAGGGTCTAAAATGATATTTTTTGCACCGCTACAGCTCAATTTGAGTTTCAAAATAGTCAGGGAACACAGTTTACTTCTGTAGTTCAATTTGATTTTTGGACAAGCTGAGAAAAAAATGATCATGTTTCTCAAGAGCTCTAAAAACCAGTTTCTATGCTTAAATTTCTGCTCTCTCTAAAAGAATCAAAAATTACCTTTTCAAACTATAAGGGCCTATTTTTAACTCAGTATCAGAGTTTTATACAGGTTCAGTTCAATTTCATTCCTATCTCTAGTTTAAATTTCAGCTTAAGGAGTTCCAAGAATAGAATTTTTAATTCTATCTAGGTAGTTCAGTTTTGACTATGCAAGCTGCAAAAGTCAATAATCTGATCCCTTCAAGCCTCTCTACCACAATTTCAAGTGTAGAACTGCTGAAACTCAATAATTTATGCTCCTCTAGTTCAAATTTCAGCTCTAGGAGTTCTAGGAATTAGATTTTTCAGCCTCTTTAGTTCAGTTTTAATTCTAGAACAGTTTAAACTCAATTACCTACTCCTCTAGTTCAAATTTTATCTGTTTTAGGATTGCCAAGAATGGAATTTTTATGCTTCTCTATTTTATTTTCAACTTTAGAACTGTTAAAAGTCAATGACTTATACTCCTCTAGTTCAAATTTCAACTCTAGGATCCCTGGGAATGGAATTTTAATGTCTTTCTTCTTCAGTTTCAACTCTGCGATTCACAAAAGTCAATAATCTGAGTTTTTCAAGTCACTCTGGTTCAATTTCAACTCTAGAAATATCAAAACTCAATGAATTATGCCCCTCTAGTTCAAATTTCAGCTCTATGAGTGCCAGAAATAAGATGTTTACCTCACTCTAGTTAAGTTTTAACTCTAAAACTGATAAAATTCAATGATCTACTTCTCTAGGTCAAATTTTAGCTCTAGGCTTCAGGAGTTTCAAGAATTGGATTTTTACGCCTTTCTATTTCAGTTTCAATTCTAGAACTGCTAAAACTCAATGATTCACTTGTCTAGTTCAAATTTTAGCTCTAAGAGTGCTGGTGGGCTCTCTTCTTCAGTTTAAAAGTATTTTGAAGGTTTCAACACCAATTTAACAGTATTTTATTGAAAACTGAAGTATTTCTAGGATTTTCGAGAAAATACCAAAAAATTTTAGGAATATTACATAACAGGTTCATTTTTATTTACCTATAGGTACTTACTTTTTTTTAGCCAGCAACAAAATATGATATTTTCCTAAATCCAGAAGAAGAAAGACTGATGGTAAAACGCTTCGAAGGCCACCTCAAAGATTTTTGCAAAAGATTTCAACCTCCAATGCCCAGATGCGTAACTGGAACAGCATTTCATTACTTCAAAAGATTTTACATCAAAAACTCTGTAATGAATTATCATCCTAAAGAAATCATGTAAATACACCCAATTATTTTAAACTTTTGCCTAATATTAAATGTTTGTTTTTTCTAGGGTAACATGTATTTATCTAGCTTGTAAAGTAGAAGAATTCAATGTTTCAATACTACAATTTGTTGCCAACATTAAAGGAGACCGAGAAAAGGCTGCAGATATTATTTTGAATAATGAATTATTGCTAATGGAGCAGTTAAACTTTCAACTTGCCATACACAATCCTTTTAGACCTGTTGAGGGATTACTTATAGATATTAAAGTAAGAATTATTTTGGAATTGCATACATTTTTTGAATACATATGTCTTTTAGACAAGAGGTTCTCTACATGATCCAGAACGTTTAAGAGTAGGAACAGAACAGTTTTTAGAAAGAGTCCTACTTACTGATGCTTTACTACTTTATGCTCCAAGTCAAGTGGCCTTAGCAGCTGTACTTCACGCGGCTTCAAAATTGCAAGAAAATTTAGATTCCTATGTAACAGAGATTTTGTTTGGCAGGGATGGAAGCGATAAGTTGGCCCATTTAATTGATGCAGTTAGAGGTGAGATTATAATTTTGACATAAAAACGATTTTTTTATGGTTAAATTGTGTATTTTAGCAATCAGATCAATGGAAAAGACTGTAGACATTGCTGCCGATAAGAATCTAATGAAAACTTTAGACAAGAAATTGGAAAAATGTAGGAATCCTGAAAATAATCCAGATAGTGACATGTAAGATTTCAACAAATTTTTATACATATTTCAATTATTTTATTTTTAGTTATAAAAAGAAAATGCAAGCCTTGTTAGATGACGAAGACGATCTGTATAATGCAATCTCCGCGCAAAATCAGGAAAAAGACGATTCAGCTTTAAGAATGAGTCTTCCAAATTCCCCAGAAGTAGCCTAATAACTTCATTCTCTGCAACTTCATTATTTAGCCAAGTAAAGTAAATTTTTATTTATTAAAAAATATTTTTGTTTGATTATATTTTATATAGAACCAATAACACATTATAATAATTATTGTATTTGAAAATTCTTATCAGGTATATATTTATGTCTAAGTAAAAGGCACTTCAGTTGATTCATACACTAAGAATTTCCAAAATGTTGTTCGAAATTTTGTAACTTCACCATTGCAGAACATTCTTGCGGGCTCAGTTCTGGACCAGGATTATGATATTTCATAAAGTCTTGCATACAAGGCCTTTGTGGTGCGATTCTTAAGGGAGACGGAGACTCGATTTGGGGATGTGGTAGTTGATGCATTTGTGGAGGTCCTGGCATTCTATTAGATTGGGATGGATAGTTGAAGAACCTAGAATAAATTGATTAATTATTCTGACAAAAACTTCAAATTATCTTACCATAAACGGTCACCTACAAATATTGGCCTGGGTGTTAGTATTCCTAAAGAACTGTAGTATTGTTGGGCTAAAAATTCTATGTCGTTGGTGTATTTTCTTTTCCATTTTGTTCTTCTGTTTTGAAACCAGATTTTAATCTAGAAAAAATAGGCAATAGGTACCTAAATGAATTTAAGTCTTGATTGAACCTTACTTGTGTTTCAGTCAACTTGAGGGTTTTGGACAACTGACATCTTTTAGCCACTGATAGGTATTTGTTTTTTTCAAATTCCGCCTCTAACGATTTGATTTGTGATGCTGTAAAAGCTGTTCTGGGTCGCTTTTTTCTGTCTTCTTCGGATTTGCAGTCGGAAAAACTTAAATCTGCAACAAAAATAACTAATCTAAAATATAGGTACTTCACAAGAAGAAGCTGCTTGATTTTTTACAATTTATGTAAAGTTGGAAAACTTTCAGAAAATGTGTTTAATATTATTTGTAGTTAAAAACTCATACAAAATCCATTATCCCTGTGAACATAACAAAATATTTTGTTTTGAGTCTATGTAGTATAATATAGGATCTGATGATGAAATTAAGGAAAACACCTATCACCTTTGTTTTACAATTTCTTAAATTTATACAAATTACTTTCAAAGGCAAATAACGACAATCTGTTGGCTACTATAACCATTTGCCAAAGGGTAAAAGCAAAATCCATACATCTTATCCATCCCAATTAAAGTTCCGTAAATAGTTTAACTGCGAGCCCATAAATTCACGTAACATTAAAGCCAAACTCTTGGTAAATTTAATTTACTTCTTAAGAATTCTCCTATGTCATTTATAACCGAAATTAATGAAAGTTATACGCCTATAATTGCTCCGAGCAATAGTGTCCAATTTAACTCACCAAAAACAGGAAAATTTATTACCGAAAAGACGTTTTGTGTTTGTGCGTATGTGTGTGTATTTTTTTTATCTTGAATCGTTAGGCGTTTAAAATCTAATTTCGTCTTAGTGCTGGGCACAAATTACCAGCGTCTTCGCTTAAAAACGTGTCTGCACTTCTCGGGCGACATTCGAAACATAAATTTTGCCACGGTAAATTAAAAACAACTGTTTGGTGTAATATTTGAGACATCGTCACCAGCGCGGCGATAAAGACTTTGCGAGCGGCCGTATATCATGGCTTAATAAACAATATCCGGCTACCAATTAGAGATGAAAAATCGTTATGGCACCGTTTATAGTTTCGAGATAGATGCCTAATTTTTAGGGCGTCAGTTTGTCCCACTACTATAACTTTATTTATAATTTAACGATTGTGTCTTATATTTGTCTGTTTAAAATTATCTATGTAGGTAGTATTTCCAGGATTCCAGGTAGGTACCTTTATTATCTTTGTTAGAAAGAATAAGCATTTAATTGAAGTTGGACCAAACCCTTCGAAAAATATTCAATACAAAGAAGAAATAAATAATAAACATTCAGCGATCCTGGCTGAAGAGATTGAGGACAATGAAATTGATGAAATAATTACCAATTTGGAATCAAATAAAGCGAGGTTTAGACCATTTCATATGTAGTACTGAAAGCATGTGGAAGTGATTATGCTGAGTAAATCAGGAAAGAACCAAAAGTTCTCAAAGAACTAGTTCAAGCAATCAAAAAAACCCGTCAACTCCGGGATCGTACAAGAAACTGATAAGCTGGTGTTGATTCCAGAAGAGCAATTCGGATTCAGAGCAGGACATTTAGGAGTTTCTTTAGCACAAAATTAGATTCTATAGTATTTTTCACCCATACTAGTAGTATTTTGTTTTAGATTCCTGCACAGGAACATTTAAATGCAGAAGGAAATGTGGAAACACACATTGAGATAAAGCTCATTTAATCTTTGGAAATGTTTGCTGAAGAAAGAATTTTTAGTACTAAATAGGTACCTACCTTGAATCTGCATTTAGCGAAAAGATAATAATAAACATTTGATTTCTATGTCAAGAGCTACCAGTGACTTGTGGCCTCTGTGAATAAAAATGAGTAGGTAGTTGGCTATTTAAATATTTACAAAAAAATACCCAAAGACTCCTAAAAGTCATATACAATAACATCTAGCATCCAAATCCTATGGATCCACTTCATGAAGATGACAATAATGAATCAATATTCGTTTTTTCACTAATAATTTATTAGAAGAAATATGTAATTTATTTGGACACAGAAAGTTCCAATTAGAATACAAAGCCCTTTTAATCTACTGACATCAGACAAACAAAAAGAAAATCAAGAAAACTATTAACCAGTGTCGTAGACAAATTTGGAAATCTCAAGAATGCACACTGCTGCACAGAAATCCCATGGTGTAGTGTTTTATTCGTGGCACCGCATTTATACACATGTACCTTCGGGGCCATACATCAACGCCTAATTGACAGGAAGTATTTTAGAAGACAAAGTGACACTAAACGCTGCCTAATTACTTAAAAGATGCAACGTGGTCCGTTTTCCGCTGCTATTTAAAATCTATTTGCAATTATTTTGGGTTTTTTGTTTTGAATCTGGCAAGAGGACTAAGCTTCACAAACAAAATGTTACTTACGTGTTGACATATCGTACAATGTTGTATGGTTATCATGTTCAATGGAAATTTTAAGATGAGAAATAGCTGGCAGGCATATTTATGAGGATGGACTTTAAATGAATTTCCCTTTAAAATATTTCAATATTTAACACACATTTAGAGATTTCTCAAGGAATTTGGTCAATTTTTATGCTTTATTAGAAGACGTTGCATTTTGAATCGTTAAAACAAATTGTACAGCATATTGGACAAATGCACCAAGTTCCAGTTCAGAGAATTCAACAATCAATTGCTGAAGATATTTCTCATTTGGAACTCATAAAGCAGAGTTTGAATACTTATCAAGCTGTGACTTATCTACTGAATAAGAAATTCATACAAGTAGATATTTTTTTCTGTTATTTGCTATGTTTTTCTGTTTTAGAGTTCAAACCTCGGTTCAAACAAAACATCGTGAAAGTCTGACAAATTCTGAACTCGTAATCAAAAATGTCTAAATAGTTAGCTACCTCAGTACTAAAACGATGAAATTTCAAAATTTTTGTTGTTGAGATTTTGTGTCTTAATGGTCGTTTGGGAACTTCCAAACTACATACACTAAATTATTCTGAGATTTAGAACCGGATTTTATGAAAAAACGCACTCAAAAAAATTGAAAAATTGATAAATCATCCCAAATTGCTTAACACGATTTTATTTCTGGAACTATAAGTCCAAATGAGCGGAAATTTTCAGGGATTGTAGTTCTCTACTGGGATAAGAATCGCTGCAAATTTCAGCTTTCTATCTCTAATAGAAAAATAGTTATGACCTCTCAAAGTTTTCCAAAATTTTAATCATAAGGTAGCTTATACTTACCACTTATAAAACGATGAAATTTCAAAATTTTTGTAATTGAGATTTTGTATTTTAATGGTCCTTTAGGATCGCCCAAACTCCATACACAAAATTATTCTGAGATTTGGAGCCGGATTCTATAAAAAAGGCACTCAGAAAAATTGAAATATTGATATATCACCCCCTCGATCACCGCAAATTGCTTAACACGATTTTATTTCTGGAACTATAAGTCCAAATGATCTGAAATTTTCAGGGATAAGAATCGCTGAAAACTTCAGCTTTCTATCTATAATAGAAAAAAAATTATGACATTTCAAAGTATTCCAAAATCTAAATCATAAGGTAGCTACTTTACTACTAAAACGATGAAATTTCAAAATTTGTTTGGTTGAGATTTTGTATCCTAATGATCCTTTGGGATCCCCCGAACTCCATACACTAAATTATTTCCAGATTTGGAACCGGATTCTATGGAAAAAGGCAAAAATTGAATAATTGATAAATCACTATACAAACTGCGAACACGACACTGGAACTATAAGTCCGAATGAGCTGAAATTTTTAGGGATTCTAGTCCTCTCCTGGGATAAGAATCGCTGAAAAGTTCAGGTTTCTATCTATAATAGAAAAAAAGTTATGATCTTTCAAAATTTTCTAAAATCTAAATCATAAGGTAGCTACCTCAGTACTAAAACGATGAAATTACAATTTTTTTTGTTGTTGAGATTTTGTGTCCTAATGGGCCTTTGGGATCCCCCGAACTCAATACACTGAATTATTCTCAGATTTGGAGCCGGATTATATGAAAAAAGGCATTCCGAAAAATTGAAAAATTGATAAATCACCTCAAATTGCTCAACACGATTTTAATTCTGGAACTATAAGTCCAAATGAGCTGAAATTCCCAGGAATTGTAGTCCTCTACTGGGATAAGAATCGCTGAAAATTTCAGCTTTCTATCTATAATATAAAAAAAGTTATGACCTTTTAAACTTTTCCAAAATCTAAATCATAAGGTAGGTACCTCAGTACTAAAACGATGAAATTTTAATTTTTTTTTGTTGAAATTTTTTGTCCTAATGGTCCTTGGGAATCCCCTATACTCCATACACAAAATTATTCCGAGATTTGGAGCCGGATTCTATGAAAAAAGACACTCAGAAAAATTGAAAATTTGATAAATCACCCCAAATTTCTTAACACGATTTTATTTCTGGAAGTGTAAGTCCAAATAAGCTGAAATTTTCAGGGATTGTAGTCCTCTGCTGGGATCAGAATCGCTGAAAAGAAAATCTCAGGTAGATCAATGGTAAATATAACTCTAACAGCTCTGTAGAAAATTCTAAATTATTATGTTTATTAGGGCTTTCATTAAACAGTGAAAAATTAGGATCGCATCATTTTTTTAGAATGAATACTCATAATTATGCTGATTGAATACTAAAAGCAGAGAACTGGAAAGTGAAAATTAAAAACTTTGGAGATTCCAGATCTCCATTATTTAAATTTTAACATAAAAGCTTTGAATACTCTGCTAATTTATTATCCAATACTAGTGTTTCTAGATTTCAGCCGTGAGATTTGAAGATCCTGGAGCAGCTCAAAAATGTAGAAACTTCAAGATTCTAGGCACTTGATGAACAAAGATGTTCAAAGACTATGTCTTTCAAAATTCAGCCGATCTGAGACCCAAAGCCTCCAAATATTTCATAGAGACTTTAAAGAATTCAAAGATTTTAATAATTTTAAACCTCTCGATTTCAATTTTTCAAAACTGTAGAGTCCAAAAATTTTGAAGGCCTTAAATTGTCTTAAGATTCATGACTTAAAACCGAAGCCTCTTAAAGACACTTATTTTTTATTTTTAGGATTCCAGAATAAAAGGTAAGAATCTGCTTCAAGACTTAAAATTTGAAAAAAAAAAACATGAAAGATTTCTAGGATTTCCACTTTGCCTTTG